AAAGTAACAAAAAGATTATCGACAAAATTCTGCGTTAGCTGACGTTTTTTGCAAAATTTTGTACGCAAGTTGCTCTTTTCTGCGTTATTTCAATGTTTAACGCAGAAATTAACTGAAAAATTTCTACATGGGGGGTACCCCCTCCCTGTAACGGCCATGTCCGTTACCTTTCGTTACTCCTCGCCAAGAACAGCGATATTATTTCTAAGAACTCCAAGTTAAGTTAGAATAATGTAAGTGTATGTCTTTTTACTTAGTTCGCGATTTTTCTAGTTTTTTTGTTTGGAAGTTTTAAGAAAGAGAGGGTTCAATTAGTGCTTTGCTTCTTTCTACTTATTTCAAGATTTTCTTTTAGTTATTTTGTTGGCGGATTTTTGAGAGAGAGAAAATAAGAATATTAAAAGTGTTAATTAATGGTTTATTTTATCAATAATATTTGTTGTTCCTCGATTACACGAAAAACGAGTTGTAATCAGAAGAATTTAAAACTACTTTCCTTCTTGTCACTTTTCAACTTCAAAGTAACATGTCTTATCTCCTTCTTCTTCTCTCTCTCTCTCACATCTATTGAGAGAGATTTCTTTTGATTAATCTTCGAATTTAAACCACTTCTTCTTCTTCTCTCATATACTGGGAAGAAGGAGCTTTACTATTATATTTTAGTAATTAACATAAATTAAATTTTACATTTAATTTATATTTAATATTTCTATAATTTAGTATTTGTGTTTGCAATATTTATTTTTATTTCTCCTTCTTTACATCAGCATCACGATTTCCACCACTATCTTCTCAAAACAACAAAGAAGAATTTTATCTATTTTATTTATTGATTAATCGGACATTGTAATTCAACATTGTACAAGCAGCTTTTTGTACAAAAAGTTTATCATTAAACTAATAATAATTGTTGCTGCTGATTGAATAGAATTGGGTGTTGTTTTGTGAAGCTGTTACTAGGCCCTACTAAAATGCCAAAAGCATGTCTTGAAGTCTTGACTATATAATACTGGAAACCGCAAGTTTTTGTCTCGTTATAAGTCTCGTTTAGGGCTTTATCTCATAAAAGTTGTTCAAAAAACAACCGCGTATTTTGAATTTTGAAATGAGTAGTAGTTAGAAAATAATAGAGAATTCGTTCTAACCTTGCCTAGATGGTGACCTAAACTACGGGTCACCATTCTAATAACGTTTTCAAATGATTTATCGACCGCGAAACGGCCACACTATAAAGGACAAGTTAATGGGCTACGTTTTTTGTGTAACCGTTTAAAGGACGTTAAGGCCGTTTTTTCGAACCTGGCTGGTGTTTTCAGGTTTCTTATGCAGAAAGAGACCAACGGATACTAAAAAACATTATTCATAAAAAGCCCTTTATTTTGTCAGATTATATAAAAATAGTGGGATGATCACATGTTTAGTAAAACAGAGCACATAACTTTGTAAAATTTTGCTTTTTGCTTAAAAACTTGATATCATTTTTATAATATACAAGTATAAGAAAGGCATGTAAGTGTCTCTTATTTCCATTCATCTACAGTTCAGTTCATGGTTAAATATGTTTCATTCGTGAATAGATTAGGATTGAGTAAAATTCTTTCAAAAGTTATATGTAAACACGAATAAAAGCCTTAATTTCTCGCCGACATAGAGGACAGTTGTGTAGTGAATGACCGCATGGTACACACGTTGCCAAATGACCACATGGCATGCATGCCAAACATTTTTCATCCGTCAAACATAGAACACAAACATTGATCGTTTCTGTTTGTTTTTGTCTTGGTTTTTCCTCTAAAATTAAGAAAATTTCTTATATTTTCTCCACAAAAACGAATTCTAATAAATTGCTTACCCTTTTTAATATCAATTGGTTCGATTGATGGTGTTGATGTAACCATTTCAGACACTTCTTCTTCTTCTTCGGTGTCAGAACCGTTGACATTGACCGTTGCATTTAATTGAGCCATTATCGTTTCTAAGAAGAGAACCACAATTTAGTTTCAGATATGTTTGTTGATTAAAGAATCTTTACCTCGTTTATTTTTTTCGGTTAATTCCAGCAACCTTTTCGATGGAATAATAATATTATCTTTTCTACCATCAATTATTTCAATTTGTTTTTGAAGAATCAAACAGGCCATGTAAAGATCGCTGTCACTCAGGAAATCGTCCTCTAAATGCGATAAAATTTAAATACTGATAAATAAAAACATTGAAATTCAACGAACGCTTTAAACGTAATTGATCTTCATAGCATCGTTTAATAATTGATAATTTAAACTTGGTCAGAAGACGTTGCGATACGGGAGAATCGAGTCGTGCAGCCACTAATCGAGACAGTGTACTTTCGTCAGGAATTTGTAATTGATTAGCTGGTGCATTAGTGCACACAACAGAATTTGAAGTTGTTGATGAAACCGAAGATTTGGTCTGTGTTTGCTCTTGCGTAATATTCGAACATGCTAAAAGTAGAAACGTTATAAAAACTAAGCTTGTGTGAAGAACTTACAAAAGATCCTCACTTTGTTTAGCAGCTCTTTTCGACTGCTGAATCTTTTTATATAAATCATCACCGCATAATTGCTTCACATAGGAACAGTGGGGAAACCAGCGGGCGTGTTCAATCATTGGATTATCCTTTTCGCCCCAATTCTGTAGAGATCCATTGCAATAGAAGCATGTCACGATCGTTTTTAGGCCAGAATAGAAAAAACCGGCTCGAATAAGATCATCCACAAGTGGTAGCGGCAGATGATGTGGCCATGATGCATAGCTAGCATGACGTTTCGGTATTTCAACAAATTGTGGATTGCAGGCTTGTGCGAGAACAATTTCCATGTTCGCTGGCACATATGATGTTTCATTGAGGATGGCACGTGTCGTTGTAGTAGTCGCGACGATGTTTGATTTGACGAAACAGCAGTTGGGCGACAAAATTCTGTGTATTTCAACTGGATCATCGGCGATAAGCCATTGCTGACAAATTATATTACAGTAAATGCAGAATGATATAATGGGAAGTTATATTCTCGATTTCGTTCTGGTTCAAGATTAAAGCTTAAACCAACAATAAAACACAAAAACACAATAAAAAAAAATACACATTGAAGGATAACATCGAGTCATTGCACAACTTCAATCATTGTGCAGAATATAGGAAAGAACAGCGAAGTTGATTTTTGCAGTTCGTCTGCAAAGATCAAGTTCGTGTGTTCGATCCTAGCTTCGTGCAAGGATTGATTTTGTGTTTTGATAGTTTAAGTTTCAGAATGATATAATGGGAATTTATATTCTCGATTTCGTTCTGGTTCAAGATTAAAGCTTAAACCAAATGCAAATGACTCGGTCACCAACATTGTAATTGAAAAAACCACTATTGACCATTTGAGATTGTGACGGTGATTTGAGTTGCCAGTGAGAATACGTTCGTTTTCGAATCTCACTTACAGTGAGTAATTCGTGAAATTCACGCGAGGCTAGAACTCTGGCAGCCGGTGATTTTTGACTATTTTGTACTTTGTCTTCTTTGTACTGTCGTTTTTGTTTTGTAATTTTTTTTTGTTTTATTTCATTGCCATCAATCGATACTTTTGCTATTTTGATTTGATCTTGTTTTATACTCTCAAGCAATTTTTCAAATAATTTATAGTATGCATTACTCGTTTGCTTAAAATCTTTTACATGATTCAATTGAGGATATTTCAGTAGATGCAAAATTTTAACTGAAGCCATTAGTTTATCAAAGGCTGTTTCAAAGACAGATAAGTTTTTTCTGACTATTTCACTGTAGGATATGAAATATGTGAATTATCTTCCAACGCGTAATACTAACATCATCTTATATATATATATATATATAGTTAGGGAAAATACTTTTACCCACTATTTGCGATGATTTATAAAAAATAGTCACGGTACTGGGACGAAAACGTTTTCTCTTCATGTACAGCGTGCATTTTTCCATAGGCCAGGCGAATATTTGCTATAGAAGCAGTCTGAACGTCTACAAACACTTATAGGTGCCGTTTTTTAACGAAACGGGTGCATACCTAGTTGAAAGAGACTTTTATCTAGGTTCTCCAGACACTAGAAAACTCACCTATAAGCATTGTGGAATTTCATAAAGCACGCCATTAGGAAGAGCATATCTGAAAACTTATAAAAAGAGTGTTTGTAGGCTTTTGGATTGCTTCTATAGCAAATATGAAAATCCTCAGCCAAAATTGTCACGCTATGTTTTGACTTTGGGGTTTCGTTCGATTCAGCAACTTGTTGCTCAGAATAACCTACTAATCGCACATTATCCGATGCAATTTCCTGCGCTGAGTCTGAATACATCATTTTCATTGAATAAAAACATTTCTGGACCAAAATAAATAAAACATACCTAGAAAACCTTTGGTTTTTGGACAATCGGTATCTTAGCCTAGCAGCATTTGTTTGTATTAACTGTATGGATAGTTGGTATATAGAAGAACTTTCTGTGTAATTTTGATCGTTCCACGACCTTCGCTAACTTTCGCGCGCACACTTTACTAAACTTAGGCGTTCGGAAAAACACTTAGGAAAATGTTTCTTTGTTTTCTCCAAAATCTCCAATGCAGACTACGAACCTTTTTTACTTTCTATATACGAAATCCTATTGAGGTTCATAATTTAAAGTCCATTGGTTTATACCAGTTGTCGTTTTTTTGGCAAACTTAATGTTTTCACCGATCTTACTAGTTACATTTTAATTGCAAGTCTGTTTTCTTAGTACCCGTGTACTTTTCAACCCAAGCTGGATGCACACTGGATCGGGTGTTTGGCATATATTAAAGGCGTGTCATAAGAGAGAATTGTACAATAGGTATCGTACATTCGTTCTCTTTCTTGCTGTCAGGAATTTCCCCAGTGTTATTTCTTATTGTCTACTATATGTATCTTTTTCGTTCTCTTTCCTTCTACCAGCAATTTCCCCAGTGTTAGTTCTTGATTTCTTTATTTTCTGGGATCTCTTACATGTATCCCCATTGTATTTTTCATGAGTGTCAAGTAAAGTTTTCAATTTTTCATCAGTTTCATTGTAAATATTTTTACGTTTGCAAGTTTGGACTTTAGATTCTTCTGCGTGATGGTGCTGCAAGATATGTTCTTGACGTAATAGATCAATAAATTTGTAAATGTGCGGATGAACAGGAAATACGCTTTCTTTCAGCACAGATTTACTTTTTACGGTTGCTGTGAAACTTAATATTGCAAACTTCATTCACACGACAACTTTTGGTCAAATGTAAATTTCTTCTGTCTGTTTTAGACACGTTTCTGTACATATATTTATTTATTTTAAGCTGACCAGCATGGACGAAACTCTTGTTATTTTGAAGAACACAAAGGGAACTTATGTATAATAGGTATTTAAAAAATGGGACGAATTGAGCGAGAGCAATTAAGGACGAATCGAGAGGACACGATAGAATTTTGACTAAAATAGCTGATGTATACAACATAATATATGATAGTTTATATCTATCATTCTCTCAAAATAAAACAAAATTAAAGTAAAACTAATCAGTCAGTTTTCAATAAAATTTAAAAATTAAGTTTAAATAATCCGTTAGTAGTGTTAATAGCTTCATGGTGAAACAAGCGCTGGTGTCAATAGCCATTCCAAGAAAAGAAGAAAGTTCAAGATCCAAGTAGTTTCATTCAATAGTTTGAAGAAACCTAAATACATCAAAAAGTTTTTCTATCTTGTGATCATAATGTGCTGCATGCTGAAAGAGGCGCATTTTATGTGTAATGTTTGAGCAAATGATTGTTCAGAAAATAGTACAAACTAAGGAAAAAAACACAACCTCGTGTTTAGAAAGGACAACACTCGAAAGAAAAAGAAAGCGACTTTTAAAGTATTCATTGAAAACTATAGCCTCTGCTCTCTAAAAACAAAGGTTTATGTACGAAACCTAAAAGGGTATAGAGAAGTGTCACCATTTCTAAACCCTTTTAGGTTTCGTAGACGAAACGGTACGATACGAAACCGTTTTAAGTATGTTAAAACGATTGATCTAGTGCATTTACTTACTTTGTTATGTTTTTTCCAAGATTTTCTCCCGAAAAATCAAAAATTATAGAATTTTCAGATATTTTTTATTCTCTGTAGTATCTTTTCTTCACATACAAGAATGAAACTGTTCGTGTATTCTGTGATTGTCAGCGGAACCAATTTCTGCTAACTTTTAAACTAAATTTTGAATCTGTATTAATCAAAGAAAACCGATAACGCTACGACACTGTTGACCGTTTTTTGTCACAGCGCTACCTTTTTTCTGGTTTTTCTTTGATTAATACAGATTAATTAGAATAGTTTCGAACTTCAAAGGTCCATGAAATCTATGCTAAATTTCAATACTTGGGCGGGAGTATAGACTTTCAAGAGCATTTGAATGTTGTATATTTTCTATAGTTACATTAACCTTTCCGGTTCTTACTGCATTTCCTTTTTTTGAAGAATGATAAAAATAACAATTACATAAATCTGATTGTTCTTCTTCCAGAGTTCACAGTTCGAAAATATTCTCTTTTAAGAATAAGTCCATAAACTATTCTCATTCAAGAGTGTATGAGTTGAACTTGTTCTTCTTTAAGATTGATTATAAAATATTGTTCTCCTTCACGAACAGACAATTTAAACTGTTATCAATCGAAATGGCGTCGCTCCATTTATTGTGATTCATCAATATTAAAATAAAAAACTTTCGCATGTCATACATTGAAGAAAAGAAAAAAGAATCAAATTTCTTCTTTCTGCAAATAAAAATAACTGAAAAATGTCATTAATAAACTATTCAATGTTTTGAATCACAATTACAATAGAAACAGTATATTCAAATAACGTGGTTCATGCACGATGTATGATTAAACGACGTTTTTTGAAAATTATTTTTGTTAATAAATTTTCTCACTTTACAAATTTCTGAAAATCTAAAGCTAAATTTATTCTATCGCTTATCATGACTACTGTTAAAATAAATCGATAGCATTCTCAAGTGTTAGCACTGCCGTATCAACAGCTAAATAACTATAATTTCAAATTCGAAGAAAGCTTTTTATTTAAATATTTCATTTTTAATTATCAATGCAATCAATTAAATCAATTGACTCTGATCGAATAATAAATTCATTTCCAAACGATTGTTTGTGTTCATTGTGCTACAAAATTTTATACCAACCAGTTTCATGCAAACAATGTAAAAACACGTTTTGTGGCCAGTGTGTTAATATGTCAACAACATTTATCAACGGTAGAAAAATATGTCCATTTGGTGGTAATTATGAAGAAAAACTGTGTCCAATCTCCCTGTATTCTAAATTAACTAAATTAGAAATTAAATGTCGTTTTGAACATGCCGGTTGTAATCAGATTTTGTCATATGAATCGTTAGATCAACATGAACAAACATGTGACTATCAATCGACGTCGTGTAAAGGATGCAGAAAAATATTTCTAAAGAAAGCAATTGATCAACATGAACAATCTTGTGCGTCCATTGAAATGCTATGCGATATATGCAACTCTAATTATAAACAGTCTAAAATAGTAAAACATTTTGGCGAGTGTGTTCGAAACCAACTTGTTGAGATTCATACCCAATCGACGAAAACCGATAATGTCATTGAAGATCTGAGACTTACGGACGAAGTTTTGCAATATAAAATTCACGATTTTGACTACGAATTGAAAGAATGTAGAAAGAATGTACTAAATTCAACACAATTTCAACGAATAGAAAGAGAAATACATGGAATGAAAAATGCCATTAATCAAATACAAGATAAACAAAATAGAATTACTCAGACACAGCTAGAAATACAAATATTAAATAGTCAAATGAAAAGACTAGAAATGTTTGTTCAAAAGTTGTTGTTCGTCTCATTATTTCTACTAGTTTTTACAATATTATTGTGTGTTATGTTGGGAAACTATGATACATATAATGGTCTGAAAAGAACATTTAAAATGACATTCAATGGGATATTGTCATCGTTAACAGAAAACGTATAAGAGTAGCAAATAAATGTTGCAGATATTTGTCGAACATCTTTACACTTTGTTGTTTCATGGGCACGTACTTTTACAAAATATGCATAAAAAAGAAGAACAAACATGAAAAACGACTAGAAATATATCTAAATAATCGTGCGTATGTAACTTTGCTCTTTCTTCCTATACACTCAGAAGTAGATGAAACCGTAGTAGTTTCAAATAATGAATGTCGACGGTATCTCTCCGGTTAAACTGCTGAGCTATCAAGGTTTGGTCTGAAAACGGGAATCTTCTCCAAAATTTATTCGTGTTAAATACAGTTGCGAAATATGTGACAACCAGACAAGAACAACTTTTGCAAAGACTATTTTAAATTAATCTGTAATAAATACCAGTGGTATTCATTGACCAGCAAGTGGTATCATACCACTTGCTGGTCAAACCTTTTTCAAGGAGTGAAAGTTTCATTTTTTTGTCGATTAAGGCTCGATTCACTCATACTTCGGTGTGCACTACAAACGGCTTTTGGTTGAATGTTAGTTACGCCACGTTTCGTTGTCTATGCATTTCAGAGACAATAATGCGGATGTGGACACACCGGTCAACTTCGAAGTAGCTTTGGAACAGACTTTATTCCAAAGAAGATGAGGTGTGCAAGAATTATGACGTAATTTATGAAATCAAGGTTCATATCCTGTTTAGTTTCAGCTGCCACATACACGAATAGCTCGGTTGCCGCAGTTGCGCAGTATTTATTTCTCGCAAAAGGTTCGAACATCGTTCCCGAATCGTTTAAGAAGATAGAATAAGATATAGATAAATATAGATTAAGAAATTGACAGTCGGGTTTTTACTTGAATACAAACTCTTGCTAAATAAATGAATACTTCACTTTTGAGACATACAAAAGCACAAGTCTTCGACTACACGTTAAAAAAGTTTCACTTAAAATATGGATGAAATTTAACTCATGTGTTCATCTGTTTATGAAGAGAGAGTTAGCATTAAAATATAATGTACGGCTAATTTCTTGATCCGAAAAAGTTATTTTAGAAATATGAAGAGCTCGCTAAAAATCTCGGGACCTCTCGCGAAAAACGAAACAATCTTGCGCCTTTCTTCTAAAATATAAAGAATAGAATAAACATAAAATAAAAATAAAATATAAATAAATAAATAGAATAACATAAAGATAGAATCACATAAAGAGTGTCTGGTTCGAGTTTTTATCCTAACGGGAAGAAGAACTGTTCCACCAACAATTTATTTCAATTCTCCATCTAATCCTCAAGGTGGGCGATTTTAGTTACTGCGTTAGTGTATCAGAATATCGAGTAACCAGGTATTATGGGTTTTTGCTCAGAAGATGAATGAACATTTCGATGAATAGGCAGAATTTGTCCTTTTGTTATTTCGTTCCAACGTATATTTATTTGCGGATTTTCAAAAAGTGTATCACAATTAAGGACATTAAAAGGAGCGATAATTAGAACTGGTGCTTCTGGTGTCTAGAGTTCAACTATAGTATTGGAAACCGTGAAGCTGAATGTGGAAAACCCACTATACGTCGTCGGTTCGGTCAGGAAAAAATACATAATTGTTCAAAAAAAATATTTCAATTATTGATGTTACTAGAGCATTATCTCTCTTTTTCCATACATAAAAGAGAACATCTTTTAGAAAACATCGAAAAGCATACAAAGCACAATGAAGTCGAATGGAAGATTTGCTACTGTGACCCGAAGAGGAAGTCGGAAAGTCATAGTAGTCAAACAATAAATTAATCATCAACATTTAATCTGCTCCAATATATAATATATATGCAGAAGGATGCTGTGTTTTGTTCAGCCAGACACTCAAATGCATAACAAATAGCTTAACAGTCAGACTCTCTACCCTTTTTGACAAACAGTCTAGCTTAATGCCCAAGTTGAATAGTCTGCATCTCACTACAAATCGAAAAAGGTTGCTTTTAGTTCGGCTTAAATATTAGAGAAAAGCAATCAAGTTGATAGATAGTGTATTAAATTCATAGTGAGTGATTTTGGAAATTGAAGAGTATGAACATTCACACTAAGATGTACCTGTCTATTTTTATCAGTGTTCTATACATGAATATTCTGTTTTTCGTTCTGTCTCTTCATTCTGATAACATAAAAATAAGAGAAATCAGAGAAAAAAAAAGAATATATCCAGAACGAAGAAAAATTGAAGAATAGAATAAAAAGCGCTAGTTTCCACGCAAAAACAGTTTTTCGTCTCGAAAACTAAGAGTTGTCCAAGAAAACGGGAAGCATATTCGGAATCCTCGTGAAATTGCGAATCAGAATATATTTTGTTTCTCTTATTTTCAGCCCGATGGAAAATTGCACGTTTTGCTATGAAACAGATGAACACATGAGTTAAATTTCATCCATTTTTTAAGTAAAACTTTTTTAACGTGTAGTCGAAGACTTGTGCTTTTGTATGTCTCAAAAGTGAAGTATTCATTTATTTAGCAAGAGTTAGTATTCAAGTAAAAACGCGACTGTCAATTTCTTTACTAACATTATGTGATCGCAGTAAAATAAATGATATTGAGGCGGCATACGCCGAAGCAGTTAAAACGACTTTCTTTTGAGGGCACGCCGTATTATCCATCCGTACAAATTTTTTTGTTCGACTGATGAACTTCTTAATATACCAACAAACATTGCACCACTTCGTTTAAAATAACATAGTTTAGACAACTTCAAGAATTCTAAACATTAAATGAGGAAGATGAAGTGACACTGGTGAAATAGGACGGATGAAATGATCCTCTTCTGCAAAACGTTTACGATCAAACAAGCTAGCTAGTCTGAATTTGTTTTGGTGCTTTTATCCATAGGACTTTCAAAGAAGTGTTTGTTTGTTCATATGTGAGAGATTTTGCCATCTTGAATAATTGGTATAAGATTTGCTTAAATTGAATATTGTTTCCTTCCATTAGTTTGTTAAAATCTTGAATCTGATCATTTATCACCAATAAATGCCAACACCAACGTCAATTACACAGAAGTATTTGCATTGAAACCGAACAAAGAAGATTAGTAGTCCCTCTTGTTTGAACATAAATCGCATAAAAGTGTTCATCGCTCATCTCGATAGTCATTCTGAATAGAACGTTGTTTTTATTCAAAAGTTTGAGCCAACAGGAGAAATTAAGGTGGAATTAGAGTTAACCTAGACGAACAAAACGTTTGACAACCGATCGATATCGTGAATAGCGTCGTTTTTCCAACAATCCTTGGCATTATTACTTGGTCTTTCTTCGTGTCAACAATCGGTTGCTTTTCTTCCTTACATATGAATATGTGTATTGTGGTATAATTCAGTTGAGACAAAAATGATACAGACACGAAATAACGCTGGCAGGATCTTTAAAGCGCGAGTCCTACTGCAAAGTATGGTGCTCATCGCGATCAGCATGTGCTTATATTAATCAAAGAATTCGTTAACTCAAGTCAGATCGACATATTATTCATAGAGTTAAAGACAATTTAGTGCTGAAACGTTTTTTTTTCGGTGTCCCTATTGATGCTATTACTAATGAACTTTTTTGCTACTAATTCAATACAAATGAAAATAACTAAGTCTCAGTTTATAGATACTACGGATTGTATAGAAAACTAACGGTTGTAGTAGCACATAATCTGTCGGTGGCTTTCTTCCGCAGTTTATCCAACTGCATGATTGAAATTCGGCATAAAAATGTTTTAAAATATCACTGATTATAAAGATGTATTTGAAGGACATTAATACAATTTTGCATCCGGCGAAAATCAACAACAAAAAATTAGTTGGCAGTAAAACAAAATTGGTACTATGAACTAGAAAGCTGTTTATTCCTCGTGATTATCATTTTCGCTTCTAGTCATCCAAGCTGATAATAGTCTTCGCAATGACAGGCGCATGGATACACGAATTATCGATGAGTCAACACTTTCGACTTCATATCGGCATAGCGGGCATTTATTATCATGACACAACCATTTGAGCATGCATTCTCGGTGAAACATGTGTGTCGGTTGTTTTTTGCCCGTTTGGGTGGATGAACACGGCCATACAAGATACGATTGTCCTAGTGTAGAAATTAGAATTGTAAGTGATGTACTTATGTAAGTGCAATGAACACCTACCAGCTGTTTATATTCCTGATTGACAGCCAGCAATTTCTGGTGTAACCAGTCATGGTAGTTCTGCTTGAGGTCGGGCCATTTAATCCACGAGCAATTTCTTAGATTAAAATCGTCATTAATGAGGATACCATTTTCAACAAAATAGTGTTACCACCATCAATAACCATGACAAGTGGTGATTTATGTTTGTTTTCATTAGTCGTCTTTGCAACCTCTTCGTCTAATGTGAGCAACATTCTCAAAATATTCAGAGTACTATCGGGTTTGAAGTACATGAGTTCTTCTTCGACCGTGTGATGAACAAAAAAAATATGGTAGATACATCTGCAACTTTCAGCTGGATAAATACAGTACGAGAAAATCAAATAATACATCCGATGAAAAGCATTAGTGCGAAAACAGATAATACCTTTGCGAAAGGTGGATAGTAGGGTTTAGATGCATTAATCGCCACATCCTGATGAAGGAACTTATAAGAATAGAGCGGATAGCTTGCTAAAACAGCACGCTCTCCTTTCGGACAGTACACGAAACCGATTGTAATGGAACAGTTAGATAGCACCATTTTATTGAAATGAGTTGTGTTTTGATCATAAGTACTGTCAATGTACTTCACATAGTTCACTTTTTCTGCCTACATTCGAGATTCTTTTTCAACTCCGAGTTTCAAGCATCTCCGAGATTGCGCACGATACACTGCAAGGTACGAATGCTGAACAAGTGAAAAGTGAAGCGAAGACGTGCAGTATAAAAGTCTAGTTTATTTATGGTGGGCACTTTGACAAATAGCCGACCCTGTCGTTCTTTTTTATCTAAGACATTTCTAACCAATTTGAACGAATAAATCGACGATTCTTT